ATATAGTGTGGAGCTCGACGTTACCTTCAGTGTAAGAGCCTTGACCGCCTTTACATCCTAATCATGCTCAAATCTTATCATCGGTACTTTTCGAGGAGTTCAGGAACGAGCATGCATTTCCCAACTTCTGTGGTCGATGAGGGGCATACAGGAATGTGATCTTCAATGTTGATGACTACGGTGTGCTTCGAGGAGTCTGAGTGGATGGCATCTTGACCTGAAGGGCAGGGGCTTCAGTAGACTTCCTCGGGGCCTTTTCTCATCAATTTAGGAGTCATTTCCAGAGGTTGTTTCTTACCCTTCTTCCCGGCCTGTTTAGCAGAAGCACCTTTTGGCTTCTGCTAGACTGCTCGATAAAGATTAGAAGGGTCGAATGCCATCTCGAGTACTGTAAAAATAAAAATTCAAGTCATTAGAACTAGGATATAATAGGTCGAACAATTAAAGTAAAAGTAAAAGATGTTCGCTTCTACCCTCGACGCCCTTTACATTGGCTAGATCGAGGACATCATCCCCGAGGAGATCATCCATAATATATGCTAGAGGCTCAAGCTGGGCCATGCTCTGCCTATCCTTCTCTAATACCTTGAAGTAGGCTTGGCCCTCATTAAAGCGTTCGGTGCTCGAGACAGTCCACTAAGGATTGAAAGGGTGGTTGTTGTCTTGGGGTTGAATAAAAAAATATTTGGATTTCCATCCTTTAAGAGAGCTCGACATTTTGGGGACTTTAAATTCTCCTTGGGAAGACAAATATACAAAGCAGTTAAAGCTCGGGAGAGTCTTCAGCTCGAAGATCATCCTGAGCAAGTCTAACCATGGGACGATGGACAAATACCTACAAGCTATGAAAAAGTAAACAAGCAACATCCATCCATTTGGAACAAGTTGCCCTGGGTATATATCATGCTCGACCAAAAACTCGAAGAAGAAACGATGGAAGGGTCACCTAAATCCTCACATTCGACTTCCTTAAAAAAGGCTATCTCACCCTCTCAAGTACTAGTGACTCTTTCCTCAGGCCCGGGAAGACGAACATTGCACGAAGGCGTTACCCCGAATTCTCGAGCTATTCATATGACCTCATGTTCCTTATACATACTACGTAGATCGGCTAAGGAAAGGGTAGGGTGTCTATCAATTGGGATGGCAAAAGGAATGACCCTCTCCGGGCGTTGAGCCTGAGCCTGAGCCTGAGGAACTACTACTAGATATCTTCAGAAAATAAAAACTTAAATTATCTAAAGGGTACGAGCTCTTACCTTAAGCCTAAACCCGAGGTGGTCCTAGGAGTGTTTGAAGAGTAAAAAGTGACAAATCAGGTGGGGTATGGGGGTATTTATAGGATTTCGGGGAATGCAAAAGGTCCATTAATCCTGGCCCTTCAACCAAGACACGTGGCAATCATCTATATGAGGCAATCATTAGCTCGATGATCGAGGCCACGTTTCGCCATTCAATTGGACCCTTACTGTCCCATGAGTCCACAGCCCCATCCAAAGGCTGATCAATTATGCTTCAAAGACTGTGCAGTCCAACCTTAAGGGTTGTTCAGTCCTATTTCAAAGACTGATCAGTCCAACCTCAAAGGCTGATCAGTCCCATTTCAAGGCTGATCGGTCACATTCTCAAGACTGATAAGTTCAAACCTCAAAGTTTGATCAGTCCCATTTCAAGGCTGATCATTCCAATTTTCAAGGTTGATCAGTCCCAATTTAAGGCTGATCAGATCCATTGCGGAGACTGACCGTTCTTGTTACCCAGGCTAATCATGCTCACTAAAGACTGATTGTTCCTATGAAGTTGCAATATGGATCACATCCCAGAATCTCGAGTATGAGGCTTTGGCATGGATGTATGGGGGCCAGTGATGATCCCAATATAGGGGGCTAGCCCGAGCAAGGACCACGAGGAGGTCGGGATCAATTTTTTCACGACCTCCATGATATCCTCGGTCATGTCTCCTCAGGGTCGGGTCTCCTCGCTCCAGCAACCCTTCCTCGAGTTTACAGCCAAAACCTTGTACCTTGTAGTCCCTAATTTATTAGGACTCTCCTTCATGTCAAAGCTTATCCAACTCAAAGAAATGGAATCTTGTTGCTAGTATGTTAACCCATCCTGGAAGGATTCTACCACTAGAATTCCATCGTTATCCAAAAACATAAGTGATACAAAACCAATCAAGTTGCAACTTCCAATCAGAGTAGAACTCCTAGGGATTTCAACAGTGTAATCCTACTAGGAATGTACTACCTACCTCTATAAATACATCATTCTAATTTATTATTAAGGTACAATTTAAATAATTTTCAGCACATATCTTTTCCTAAATTCTCTTTCTGACTTAAGCATCAGATGGACGATGATGACACACCTCGATGCATTTGTTTCAGGTACCGGAGGATCTCGTTCGTGCTTATTCTCAGTCGTCAAACTTGAAAATCAATATGTATGATTTTAGGTAGCATCATGGCGCCGTCTGTGGGAATTGTTACCAAAAGCCATGATCAACACATGTCTAAGTCTTCCTCTAGCAAGCTAATCCACACTGGACCCTCTTCATACTACGGAGCCCCCAACTCATCAACGAGAATCATCAGCAGTACCAACCCCCAACCACAAGTGGTTACAGCAAGAGCTTTCGAAGAACTCCGTCAAGAGGTTGCAATGTTAACTCAATTATTAAGTCTGAGGAATCTTCATCCAGTGTAGGAGTAGACGCGGGCACCAACACCAACACCAACACCAACACCAACACCAACACCAGGACAAACAGGGAGATTCATACCCGCGATGCTAACAATAATGGTGGATCTGGGGCCTCGGGCATACCTCCAGTTGCCTCGACCTCGAGGTTCGTTGCTATGGACTCAAGCGAACTCGTTCGAATCATATGGGATTAGATTACTGCTAGCTACAACAGAACATCCAGGGGACGTCAGGATTTACCCTTAACACTCATTTCACACTGGAAGTACTTTCTTATCTGCTCTCAGACCGATTCAAACTTCCCCGCATGAAGGAGTACGATGGAACCACCGACCCCATCAATCACCTCAATGTATATACAGATGTAATGAATCTACAGGTGGCACCAGATCCTGTGATGTGTAAAGCTTTTCCATAAACTTTGACTAATGCTAGGGATTTGTTCTCTACCCTAGAGCTCAATGCCATTGCTTCACTCTCTAAGTTGGTCGACAAGTTTTCCGCCTTCTTTGCCAGTCGCAAACTCATCAAGAAAACAACCGCTTCCCTCATATAGCTTCGCCAAGGACCGAACGAATCCCTACGTAACTTCATGACAAGATTTAACAACGAAAGACTTCAGATACCCGACCTATACATAACAATTGCAATCTCCGCCCTCACATATGCCATAAGATGCGAGGCCTTCAAGATGTATCTATCAAAAACCCTGTCGAAGTAGGTGATCAAGCTCCTTACCCGAGTAGAAAAAAATATTAATATGGATGAGATATTGAACCCGAGGAGAGCTCCTCATCCAACCTCTGAAAAACACGAACACAAAAGACAACACGATTTCCATCATCTTCCGGAAGCTCACAGGAGTAAGCAAAGACAAGAGATGCAGGCGACATCATTCACCCGGCTGAACACTTTTTGGTCTAACACTCTGATAGAGATCAAGGATATGAAGGAGCTTAAATGCCTTCTAGGATGCAGTCCACTCCTAATACTCGAGATAGGAGCAAGTATTATGATTATCATCGAGATCATGGGCACACAATGGAGAACTGCAAAGCCTTACAGCGGGAGATTGATGCTCTAATAAAAAGGGATTCCTAAGTTCATATGTCAGTCAGGACAAGCGCCCAAGGAACGATCGTGACAAAAGGAAAAGGTCCCGAAGAAAGGGGGAATGACAAGCCCACAACGGAACCATTAACATTATTGTCGGGGTATAGCATCGAGAGGAGACTCGAACGGTGGGCGTAAGCAGTATGCTAGGCAATACACCCAACCTCAAAGTAAGATTATGATAACCTTGAAGACATCGCATTTGGGTCACGAGACTTGGATGGCTTATTACATCCTCACGATAATGCCTTGGCCATATCAGCCATCATAGCTAATTTTGAGGTGAAGAGGATTTTGGTTGACAATGGAAGCTCAACCAACATACTTTCTCTTGAGGCATACTCGAGGATGGAGATTTCGGCAGAACAACTCAAAGCAGTTAAAACCCCACTTCAAGTATTTGGAGGTGTTACGATCATATTGGAGGGAATAGTCAATCTTTCCCTTACCTTGGGATCGAATCAAAAGCAAGTGACTGAAATTACATCATTCTAAGTAGTCCATGCTTCAATAGTCTACAACGCCATTCTGGGAAGGGCATTGCTCAACATGATCAGAGCTATTGTTTCTACCTTCCACCTTACTATGGAGTTCCCTATAAGTAATGGCATATGAGTAGTGCGTAGAGACCAATTAGCTGCTAGATAGTACTATATTACTAGTGTTTGGGGAATAAGCACCAATGTCATGCAAATCTCGTCATCCGATCCTGAGCCCGACCTTAGAGGAAGACTTTCTCTTGTGGCAGAATTGGTAGACGTAGAGCTCGAGCATGGTAAAAAAGTGACGATTGGTCGAGATCTAGATGCTACCCTTTGTGCTTACAAGCTGCCTATCCTGCAATATTGATGTGTTCGCCTGGAATGTAGAGGACATGCCAGAGATAGAACCCAGTGTAGCAGTCCACAAACTTAATATTAATCGAGGAGCTAAGCTGTTACACCTCATCCACTTATAGTCAAAGTTAAAGTCAAAGTCAAAGTCAAATAAGGATTTAATTGAAAAAATAATTTTTACGGGGACTGATTGGTAATTATTAATAGTGGAAGGGCTAGAAATAATATATAAAGAAATCTAGAATGGTAGTTTATATTATTAGTAATGAAAGGACTAAATATAATTTTGTATGAAGTTTGGGGACTTGACTTTGCAATTTCCTTATAGTTATCTATACTTTGACTTTATCTATTCAAAATCTCATTCCTTTGNGCGGCAGGGAGGCGGTTTTCAGGGGCCAGCCGGTATTCAACTGAGGCTACGACTGCCGGGAACTGGCCGGCTATGTTGTTGCAGCATTCATGAAAAATGACAGTGGATGCACTGAACAACACGAAGTCACCTCCGTGCAGGTAGATTATGAGTGGAAGTTTGGTGCCTGTCGGGGTTTTTGCGGGTATATAGAGGCGTATATAGGCTTTGTTGTTGGGGCTGAGGGGTATATCTGTGGAGAGGGCAAGCTGATTAGGCTGTTTTGGGTCAGCAGTTGGGGTTGCATCCACCATAGGGATTTGGATTTCTCTGTTTAAAGTGCCATCGGGTTTGTAATTGATCCCAAGGACTTTGAAAGCCTCTTGCCATGTATGAGGCTTTGAATCACACATGATTTCTTGCTGTTGACACAGAGAATTTGTTGGCCGCTGACTTTCAAGCAAAGAAAATATGTGTGGGGGAACAAAGTGCAATTCAAAGTTTGTAGCTTGAGGGGATTATGAGGTCTTTGATGCACTTATATAGAACATATTTCAGGAATTTACTTAGCAAGTACTAAAGTCAAGTCATATTATACAAATTGCTTCAATTATCAAAACTCCCTTGTCCAGTCCCCATATGTCCGGTTCAACCAGTTGAAAATAGGGGTTCGATTTTTATTGCGTTAGGTTTAATTTTTATTGCGTTAGGTAAAGTGGAGTTAATTTTACTAGTTATTTGTTTTAGTAAAGATATTTAAAATACTTAAAAACGAGACTTTTTTAATTAAAAAAAAAAGAGGCTATTCTTTTCACTTTACCTGTTGTTAAAACCCCACATTTGAAAATTTGCCATATTATTCAAAATATATATATTTTCAAATTTTAGTAATTTTAGTTATCATAATGGTGATTGTTTTTCTTATAGTTAAGAATATAAAATTAAGCCCATGTTTGGTCTGGATTAAAATCTAATTTTAATCCAAATCAAAGTCAAGCAATCAATATTAACCACATCTTTCATGGGTCCCACAACTTTTCAACCACATATTTTCAAAAGTTGTATCACAATCTACTAAAAATCTAATTTTAATCTACTAAAAAGTTGTATCACAATCACAAAACACCTTCCAAGTGTATTTTTCACTTCCCTCATCCATAATTTTTGTTAGGAATACAAATTACTATAATATTCAATGGGAATTGACTTTTTTTCTCAGCACACACGATTGACATTGATTAATTAATTAAGAATTGTTTTACTGATTTATTTATTTGCTAGTTAAAACTCACATTCGTCATCCAACGCGTTAGCTTAACTGTTTCTTATAATAATGTCGAACTCTTTTTTGTCAAACTTTATTAGTTTCTTTTAAAGGGTGGCGTCAACTAAAAACATTTATTATGTTTATATCAAAGTATGAAACTTGGTGTGTTTTGTCATGTAAAATCAGGGTCATCAAAATCGGCCTGGCATGGCCGATCGGCCCCGATAAATCGGTGACTCGGACCTAATTTGGGGCCGAGCAACTTCACACTATGCAAATGCAAGTTGCTCGGTCAACAATCGAATTTGACCGGGTGAATTACCCTGATTTATATAATTATCAGTCCAGTTCAGCCCAATCGATTTTTTTAACAAAATTTCAATTTTTTTTCCATTGAAATTTTAGGGAACTAAGATTTGAACATTTGACACTAGTTAACTAGAATATAATCTTACCACCAAAACAAGCAGCACTCTGTTGTACTTTTATTTAATAAATTATATCTAACCTATGAATAACTTGTCGTCTTCTGAAAATATTTTTAATAAAATTAGTCAGATATTTTCATTCATTTTGTAATATCAA